GAGGCGCCCGTTCTGCCAATGTTGGTCGTCCGTAAAACTGACGAGCACACCCTCTAGCTCTCTGGCCACGTTACCCATGAAAACGCAGGGAAGAGGGAAGGCTGAGGACACACACGGAGCCGGAGCTGCTGCCGGAAGCCTCCGGCACAGGCGCTGGCCGCCCCCGCGTGGCCGCCGCCGCGGGGACCTGTCGCGTGTGCACGGGCCACACCTCAGCCTTTGCCTTCGATACCTAGACTCCCCCTCGAGCTCGCGGCCGAGGGGTCCAGGCGCGTGTGCACGGGCCACACCTCAGCCCCGCCCTGCTCACCCCTGAGGGTTCCGCAGAGGTCGCGTTCGACGCTGTGCACTGTCTCCTGTCCTTCGGGTCCCACGCATCCCGGTGTCTAGGACTGTCCCAGTGTGAGCATTGAGAGACCTCATCCTCAGAACCCCGGCGACACACACCCTGATTCCTGGACGAAGCAGGGCAGCGGGTCACCTTGCCTGTTCTTCTCACCGAATAGAATTAGAGATCGGTCTGAAGAAATGAGAACAGCACGACTTAACCGCCACGGGCGAACTCACCCTGAATCCTGGAGAGACGGAAACTGTCACCCTAGATGCTCAGAACGCTGCCTGAACAATTACAGGACACTAAGTGCTAAAGGGACTTTGCAGGTGGTGGTAATTAATTCAGAGACGGGGGCTGACAGTCGGTGCAGGAGGCTGGCCTTGGCCTGGGCCGGTGCCAGCACTGGCCAGGCCCGATGTACTGGTCCCTCTGCGCTTCTGCCTGGCCGACTGGCAGGCCCAGGGGGCCGTCAGGACCTGGCAGAAATGGACCCGCACAGGTGTGAGGCCTAACCCTGAGCCACAGCCCAGGGCAGCGTAACGAATCCGTGCTGTTGGTATAAGAGACTACCCGGAACCCGGAGACTGGGTCAGGAGGGTACCCTGACTGGAGCTCACGGCAACACAGCCGGGACTTACAGAAGCCTGGGGGTGGGGGAGGGGGCTGCACGCCTGACAGGTGGAAGCCCAGGCCACCACCCTGGCAGGAACGACAGGCCTGCTCACCGGACAAGCCACCCCGGCCTGGTGGCTCCAGCTGAGAACACGTCCTCTGTACTTGCCACGACCAACGGTAACGTCTGCAGACTCACATTTCAGTCACTTGTCACCACTCCAACAATCTACATGTGGGTAGTTTGGTCTCTTGTGGGAAAAGGGGAAAGGGGCAGAGGGAGACTCGTTCCTAAAGAAGAATGCCAGCTGACAGCAGAGGAGGAAAGGCAGGGTTAGAAAGTGACCCTGTGGCCACTCTCAGGTAACTCACTCCAAGGGTCCCCAGCAGCTGCCTACACCACTGCGTGAAATACTGGTAGAGAACAAGAAATCCGCATTTGCCATGTTTTCCCCTTGCAAAGTGTCCTCAATCTCTGGAGACTCATTTCCCTTGAGAGTGACGAAGGTACAGGGCACCTTTCCGGTGGAGACGTCTGGCGGCCTCGACTTGGCTGGAGCGTGTCCACCCCGCGCTCGTCCCAACCACGTGCACTCGGAAGCTCGCCTGACGCACCCAGGAGCGACGCGACAGCTGGCCAGGGCCCTTCAACACACTGTCATGAGAAAGTCTAAGAAACAGAGGGGGGAGGTTCTGAATTAGAAGAGAAACGAAAGGAGAGGTTTTGTTCGAGACGTGACCGCACTCCGCCCAGGAGAAAAACAGCTCGAGACTCACGGCGGACTGTCCGCGCACGTGCAAGGGCGTGACGACGTCGTCTCAGGAGAGGCCGGCAGGTGGTCTGGGACGTATCACAGTCTCTGTGGAAGTACGCGCGTGTCTGATGCATGTCGTGTGTGTAAACGGCGCGTGTCTGACGCACGTCATGTGTGTAAACGGAAGGAAAGCAAATGTGGAGAACGTTAACCACCGACAGACCCAAAGCAACAGAAGGGGAAGAATTTGCCCCCTTTCTTTGGAAATGGCTCTGGCAAACTGAAAAGGAAGGACTTCATCGTAAATGACTTTCCACAGAGAACAACTTTTAAAAGGCTTTAAATCATTTTTACTCTGGCAGGCCAAGTCCCCTCCTGGTTTGACATTTCATTCTGCCTGTGAGGGGCGTCCTGGTCACTGCTCAGGGGCTGGGGGCCACAGCTGAGGACAGCAGCCAGTGGGAGCACAGCAGGGGCGAGGGCCGCGGCGGGGACGAAGGAGCCGGACTGGGCGGGTTACTCCGTCCTCCGCACTCCTACTGGGAGAGTGGGAAAGTGCCGCCCGATAACGCAGAAGGTCAGAGGCCCATACATCCTCGTCTGGACATGCTCAAGGTCAGATTTGGTTGGCTCCAGCAACTCCTGGACACACGGGGCATTGTTCTCCAAACACACACAGCCCTCAGTGTGCCCGAAACCACCTCTGCATCCTGAGGACACTTTAAACTGGTCCTGGTTTTTCCTTTCATCATCTTATCATGCAAACATCATTTTTCATCATTTATCCAGCTCTACTCAAGATAAACATCACCTTGTGAACTTGACCCTCCTGCCAGCTTCATCAGTGTAGCAAGCGACGCACAATGTCAGGGTGAGAAAAAGCAAAGCTGCCCTTCCCGGGCTGGTACCATCTCCCCGGGAACCCCAGTTCGCCCCGCCTTTCCTGGCCCCGTGTCTGCCCGTGCATGTAAGTCTCGCTCACGCGCCGGACGAGCATCCCAGACCCTTCCTGCTCAGAGCCACGCCGAGGCTCTGCGGAAACTCCTGGTGTCTGGTGAACACGTGACCTCTGCGTGAAGCTGCCTCCGCTGCTCCAGAGCTACTGACCCTGGGAAGGTCTTTGGATTGGTTCTCGATGACGCCCAAGGCCAAGTTCAAGGCCTGTTTTTACTCCTCTGGCGGCTCCGCTGTCGGCCCAGCCTTGCCAGCCCCTTCCTTACCCAACTCCCCCTCTTCCAGAGGCCCGGGGCTACCGCCCGGAGCTGGTGTGTCGGTGGCCTTGGCCCTGACCTCCACAGGTTCCACGTTATCAGATCCTGATGCTGACCAAGGTGCCACCGTCCATGCAGTTTCCCAAACTCCCCTCCCTCCCCCGGGACCTCTTCATTTCAAGGTGCCAACTTCCTATGCGTACCCATCAGAACTTCTCCAGAAGTCTTCGTTATCACAAACTGAAAAGAAAGGAGTTCATTGTTAACTGCCGTCGGCCTGCGAGTCACAAGAACCATTGAAGCAGTCTCTGCTGCCAGCATTCCCATCAGCTGCCACCTGCGAGGAGACAGGAGCCTGCCTCAGGATGGGCGACAGTCAGTGTCACACGCACGCAGCGAACTCACGCCCTGCGAGGGGACGAACCGGTCCCCGGCACCACCCGGCGGGCACTTTTCATTGAGAAGCTCCTTAATAAAGTGAAAGCTCTCGTGCGGCGCATCCTAACGCCTGCAGCCTCGTCTCCGTTGCGGACCCGCTGAAGGCAGAGGGCTGTCACGTGGGGTGGGCATGATGAAGGGGATCCAGGGCGCAGGGCCAACGGGCAGGGGAGGAGCAGATGGTCTCCGTCACGGAGCAGTGAACTGCAGAACCAAGTTTTTATGCTTCTTGTGCATTTCAAAACAGTAACAGTAGTTCAGAGACACACAAAGTGACACTTATTACTTGTTTCTAAACACAAACTGCTGCAGGGTCACGTTACGATCCTCTGAAAGCAGGTGACAAAGCAAGCGTGGGACCCGGAGCGATGTGCCTCAGTCGGTGCAGCTTTCCAAGGCGACCGCGTTGAAGGGCGGTGCGCTGCTGGGCCTGTGTCTCGTGCGCAGTCCTCCACGCTCACGTGTCTCGCGTGTGGTCCTCTGCGCTCACGTGTCTCGGGCACGGTCCTCCGCGTTCACGTGTCTCGGGCGCGGTCCTCTATGCTCATGTCTCGGGGACTTTCTCTAACAAGTGAAAGTGACATTTCGACCAAGTCTGCACCATTTGGGAGAGAAGCAAATTCTAAGGGCTGGCGACACAACCAATATTGGAGAGTCTGTGGCCTGGGGTTGGTACACGAGGGCACAGGACCAGCGCTGGCCACATCCAGCAGGTGGGTGTGACCTCTCATGAGGGGAGTGTCAACTCACGCTTACACGTCCTAGGTCCTAGCTCAGCAGCCAGCGCCCACGTGTCTGGGGCCTGCCCGGCGACCTCACAGCTGTTTAGTGGATGCTTTGGATGAGTGACAGCGAAGCTCCCCCATGGAGCATGCCGCACCGAACTTGCCCCGCCCACATCATCATGGACTTTCCGAACGCTTCGAATAATTGATCCGACATCGGGTAACACATTTACCTGACGGTTTTTGAACTTTCAACCAATATATAAAAAAGATGATAAACGCATCGATTTCTTTATAACTGCACCCTCTAGTGGCCCGTTTTTGTCTGTTAC